GAGGCTGCACCGCCCGCTGGCTCTGCAGGGACAAGGCCTCTGGGAACCATTAACGAGCTGGCACGCTGCGTCCCAGCCCTGCCGTCGCCGGCCTCCCAGCCTCAGGGCCTGGGACCCACATGTGGGCCCCGTGGGGCCTGTGCTCACACCCGGCCTCCCCCGGAGGGAGACCCTCACGCACACGCCCACCAGCAGGAGCCGGGCGTGCAGCCTGCTGGCCCCGGGTGCCCACGGGACGGCCGGCTCTCCCCTTGGGGCGGCGACAGCGCGTTCCACGGTGGCATTGCTGGGGGCGTCAGCCTCAGGGACCAGGGGCCTGGGCAGTTCAGCCGGGTCACCTTTTGCCACTCGGCTGTGGAGCCGCCGCGGGTCACCCTGCCGGGCACGGACCCAGTGACGCTGACATGGTTCATCGACAACCAGGGGACTTTCCACCAGGAAGCGGCCACACGGGGAGCGTTCCTGAGGCCGAACTTCCTTCTGAGTCAGATCAGCCTGGAGTCAGTCATGCCTGCCGGGCAGTGCGCTGCCTCCTCCGCTGGATTGTCAGCTATCGGCCTCGTGGGAGCTCCCTGTGGGCGTCAGAGGCGCCTTCGTGAAAGCGACGTGAACCCGCGTGGAGCTGCCCCCCCCTTTCCTGAGGTGTCAGCTCCGCCCCGGGCCCCACCAACACCTGCTCCTCAGCCTTGCGGCCGTTGGTCTGATAAACGCAGCCTCGCTCAGCGTGAAGGAAGGCGTGCCGCGCGGACATGCCCGTGCGCTGCTTCTCGGTGTGCTCGTCTGTCATGTTTCATCACGGCTGTGTGTTAGCGTCGCCTGAGAGCCGGTCGCTCACAGTAAAGAAAACAGCACTTTCCTCGGGAGGCAGCGACGAAATGCAGATGCACACCGCGCGTGCATGCGTGTGTGCATGTACAGGCATGCATGCGTGTGCATATGTGCTTGGATGTGTGTGCATATGTGCCTGGGGGTGTGCATGTGCGGGTGTGCATGTGTGTGTGCACATGTGTGTGGGTGTGTGTGCATGTATGCACGCAGATTTTCAGATCTTTCTCTGCCTGCCGCTGCGTGTCCTGGGAAATGGGTTTCCTCGTGTGGAATTTCCATCAGAGACCCTGCTTCTTACAGACGGACTCACAGAGTTGTTGCCAGAGCCAATGGTGTGCAAGCACAGTGCCTGGCACGCCCTACACGTTCGTTTGAATTTTATTTTATTACTAGAGGCAGCCTGGCCGGTGATCAGGGTCGATTGGGGCCTTCCGGCTGCCCAGGGCCTTCCTTGGTTCCGTGCCGCCCCCTGGTGGTCAGCGCTCGTCATAGCGAGTGATGGAACTCCTGTCTCCAGGCTGAGCTCCTGAGGGGACACTGCGTATTAGCTTTTTGTACAGAGAGATGTTGCCTGGAGCATCTCCCACAGACTCAGGTGCCAGCAGAACCTTGAGGACTACAGATGCCAGCTTTCCTCCCCCAACTCAGGCTCCTGGGGAACCTGCAGGCTGGATGGTTGGTGTCTCCAAGTCCCTCAAAGTAGGAAAGGCCCCTCAGGGTCTGCAGCTGGCACTTCTGCGCCTGCCACGCCCGTGGCCTGTGAGCAGCTCTGCCCGCTGCTGTTCTCAGCTGCCCAGGGCGTCCCTCCTGCCCCACGGCTGCTCTGCACCTTCCAGAGGCCTCTTACCCCCCCAAACCTTGGGGCTCCTGGAGAGCCCCCCCTGTTCCCGAGGGCACCCCACCGGCACCCGGCAGGCGCTCACAGGATGCCTCTGTGGGAGGCAGCGTGCTGAGCCCCAAGCGAGGCCAGAGTGTGCGCAGGATGTGGGAGGCACACGGGACGCGTGTCATTCCGTGATGAGTCTCAGCGTGTGCGAGCGTGTCTGATGTGGCAGGAAGGAGGGTTCCAGGAAGGTGTCCCGGTGACGGTGGGAGGTGTGTTTGGAGGATAATTAGCAAGGAGCCGGGAGGGAAGAGGAAGGCGCACACAGGCCGCCGTCAGCCGGGGCAGAGCCGGGTGGCATCGCCCCTCGAGGACCGGGGCGCGGGCCTCGCTCCCCCTGCGCCCTCCTCTTTATCCAGGCTGGTCCGCGGCGGCTTCCCGGGACCCGGTGACACGTGGACGTGCCACAGGCTTAGCCAGCGTCGGACCTGCTGCCTGCGTTGCTCCTGGCTGGCCCGTGGCTACGTCGAGCCCGCACCTCCCCGTCCACCAGGGGAGGGTGACTTGGACGACGGAGAGTGGACGTCCCTCTGGAGGGGCCCTCACTCCTGGACACGCAGACTCTCCGCTTCTTGGGGTGCGTTTTCTGAAAGCCCCGTTCTGGCGTGTGTGGGGGCGACCGGCCGACGTCCGTGAGCAGGGCCGTCGTGTCAAATCCTCCATCAGCGTCTCTGCTGACCCCAAGGCTCTGATGTGTTTCAGCCTAAAACTGGGGTCTGTCTTCACGAGTCTGGGGAGTTCTGCTGACGGCACTCGCACCTTCAGGAGGGCCTGGCCGGGTGGCTCGGTGGATGGAGCGTCGGCCCACGGACGAAGGGTCCCGGGTTCGATTCCAGTCAAGGGCACCGACCTTGGCTGCAGGCTCGATCCCCGGCCCTGGTTGAGGTGCGTGTGGGAGGCAACCAGTCGATGGGTCTTCTCATATCGATGTCCTCCCTCCCTGTCTCTCCCCTCCCTTCCACTCTCTCTAAGAGTCAGTGTAAGGATCCCCGTGAGGATTAACACAAACGAGGACGATCAGGAAGCGCAGCTGCAATGGGACCCGGAGGCTTTAGGTCAAGGACCGCATGTGCGTGAAGCGTCACCATGATGAGGTCGGAGGGCACCGCCACCCCAGGTCGCCGGGGCTCCTTCCCGGATCCATCGGCATCAAACGCGATGCCTTCCCTGGAATTTGCCCAGTCCCCCCCACTCCCATCAGGGCCAGAGGCACACGGAGGAGGAGAGGGAAGAGGGTGGCTCTCGCCCCCGAGTTGGGTTTGTTGAGACCAGCATTGAGCTGGGTGTCCAAAAGGCAACGATGGGCCGACACCAGGACTGCCCCCCAAATCGCTGCTGGCAGAGAACATACAGGCCGGGGTGAGCCCGGCTGGTGAGTCGTACTGTTCCTGTGGCTTCGTCTTTTATCACGTGTTCACTGTGAGAGTAAAGTACATTCACCAAGGGCCACAGAGATTATGGGAAGGTGCCCCCAAACTAAATTAAACCACGTGTCGCGGTTGTACTATTCAGCGGTAACCACTGCTAAGCTTTTTATTTCTTCCAAAATAAAACAGTTTCCTTCCCACGGTTGGAACCAGGCTGCTGAAGTGAGCAATGCCCGAGGATACATGTTTTGATTTTAGAAAGAAAGTGAGAGAGAGAGAGAGAGAGAGACATTGATGTGAGAGAGAGAGAGACATTGATGTGAGAGAGAAACATCAATTAGTTGCCTCCCATATGAGCCCCAACCTGGGATCAAACCCACAACCCCCCCCCCCCTTTTTTTTTTGGTGAATGGGACCAGCTCCAACCAGGCAACCACAGGCCAGGCTGAAATAAGACCCTTTTCCTATAAAAGACAGATGAGCCAAAGGGTGGCCCTCCCCTTTGGGTGACACTGAGCTCTGGTCCGCACCGAGGCCGACCTCTGCCCAGACCTGGGCGTCTCAGCTCCCCACCCAGACCCCACACGCTCCCACAAGTGGACGGCGCCTGGGCTCCTCCTGCCGCAGGCGAGCAGTGACATGAGGAAGAAGCACAGACATGCTCTTCTCGGACAGTGAAAGCATCATCCTATGTAATAAAAGGTTAATATGCAAATTGACCCAATGGTGGAACAACCGGTCGCTGTGATGCATCCTGACCACTGGGGGCAGAAGACGCTTAATGCAGGAGCTGCCCTCTGGTGGTCAGTGCCCTCCCACAGGGGGAGCGCTGCTCAGCCAGGAGCCGCCCTCTGGTGGTCAGTGCCCTCCCACAGGGGGAGCGCTGCTCAGCCAGGAGCCGGGCTCGTGGCTGGTGAGCGCAGAGGCGGTGGCGGGAGCCTCGCTGAGGGCTCCCAGGCTTCAAGAGGGCACAGGCCGGGCTGAGGGACCCCCCTGAGTGCGCACATTTCGTGCACCGGGCCTCTAGTTATAAACAACAGTTAAAACCCCCGAGGTCTCACTGTTCTGAGTAGTTCGAACCTATTAACTCATTTAACTGTCACAGAGTCGGAGGACCCGCCCTCAATAGAAGAAAAATTGCTCCGGCCACGCCGACCTGAGCTCCTGGCCAGAAGCCGGAGGACATTCTCGTGCTGTCGACACGGAAGGAGGGTCCGGACGGGAAACGCGAGCGTGACATTCAGGTCTGACTCGGCTGCGGGTGAAGCCACCTTAGAGAAAACGTGAGCTGACCACGTTGGCAAAGGCCTCGCTGTGTTTTAACACTAGCACCGTCCGTGGAAATGGCTGTTGGTGTTCTGTATTTTATATTTTTTCATGTTTTTGATAGATGAAAGGAAGAGTGACGTAGGGAAGCGTGCCTTGTTTGCCTGGGCTCATGTCCCCCGGGGAGACCCTTGCCCAGGCCACAGGCCACAGCCACGACCTAACAGGGGAAGATGTGGCCTGGGTTCCAGCTCCTGCTCCGTGGGCTGCAGGTGAGGCTTCTGAGGTGCCCAGTTCTCCTTCCTCCCAACAGGGACACGGATGGCCCCCCTGGCGTGCGTCTGGGGGCATGAATAAAGCCGGCACCTACCGTCCCGGTGACAGAAGTCACTTAGGAGATGGTAACTTTTTATTGATTTCAGAGAGGAAGGGAGAGGGAGAGAGAGATCAATGATGAAAGAGTCATTGATCAGCTGCCTGCACACCCCCCACTGGGGATCGCGCCCGCAACCTGGGCATGTGCCCTCGACCAGAATCGAACCATGACCTCCTGGTTCACAGGTCAACGCTCAACCACTGAGCCACGCTGGCCGGGCAGGAAATGGTAACTTGTGTTGTCTGTGCTTCTCCTGGTGGTTTATTGAGTTCCACCATCGCACACAAAGGGAAGAACAGCCTCCTGCGTGTCGCCGTGGCAACGGGAGCCCTCCCACGCGATGTAGGGGGGAGGGTGGAAGCACCCCCCCCCCCCCCCCCCCCCCCCCCCCCCCCCCCCCCCCCCCCCCCCCCCCCCCCCCCCGACCCTGGCAGGAGCCACCGCTGGGCCAGGAGGCTGGGAGCCCAGGCCCTTCTGAATCCAACTGGGACCAGATCAAAGGGGCGAGCAGGGACGGAGTCTCTCCCACACGCTCTGCTAACCGGCCGG